AGAACGGTAACTGGCACACTGAAGCCAGCCTAATAGTCCTCCACCTAACAGCAGGTGTCAGAATATAGGCAACAAACTGATCGCCAAAGGACAGCAAATACCACCTTTGCCAGTGTTCAAGGATATATAGCAGGGGTGGGCAAACTATGGCCAATATCACTGGCCTGCCAGGTGGTTTAATCCAGCCCTCAAGCTCCCTCTGGGGAGCGGGGTCTGGGACTTGTCCCGCTCCAGCCAGAGAGCAGGGTCAGGGGCCACTCCATGTGGCTCCCGGAAGCAGCGGCATGGACCTCCTCCGGCTCCTACACCATAGGGGCAGCGCGGGAGATTCTGCTCTGCACCCTGCCCCCGCCCCAAGTGCCGCCCCTGCAGCTCCCAGTGGCCGGGAACCAAAGCCAATGGGAGCTGCGGGGGCGATGCATGCGGACAGGTCAGCGCGCAGAGCCACCTGGCTGTGCCTCGCATAGGAGCCGGAGAGCTGGGAGCCGCTTGAGCTAAGTGCCGCCTGGAGCCTGCACCACTGAGCCTCTCCCCATGCCCCTACCTCCTGCCCCAGCCCTGATCCCCCTCCCACCCTCTGAACCCAGCCCAGAGCACCCTCCTGCACCCTGAACCCCTCATCCCTAGCCCTACCCCAGAGCCCGCACCTCCAGCCGAAGCCTGCACCCCTTCCTGCACCCCACTCCCACAGCCCCGAGTCCCCACCCACACCCTGAATTCATTTCTGACCCCACCCCAGAGCCCGCACCCCAAGCCCAATTTTGTGAGCATTCATGGCCCGCCATACAATTTCTATTTCCAGATGTGGCCCTCGGGCCAAAAAGTTTGCCCACTCCGATATATAGGATACACACCCTGCAAGCCACCAACTGCATAGCAGAAATGCTGTCTAGACAGTGCTGAACACTCTCTACCCAACTAATCCCATTAGCTCACTGTGGTAGACAGGAAAGAGTCTCTACCATTATCAAGAACTCCCACATCATCATCAGGAGGAATGTCTAGATGCCTTTGGGCTCCCACATCGTCTTGGGAACCAGTTTAATAGATCCAGGTGTGGTATGGGTCCCTGCACCAAAACAGACCATGCCTGGGGCATCCAGGACAGGGCAGGCCACTGTGCATCTGTGGAGGATGCTGCACACAAGCTGGATGGTTGTTCCCTTTGTGTTGGGCTCCTGGAAAATCTTTCCCAAGCTGAACACTGCTGACTCAGAGACTATTGACTGGCTCAAGACCATTTAGCTGTGTTTTTTAAAATAAACAAAACAACAAGCTTGCCTTGCTTGTCTTGCCCCCATGCAATTGATTTTTTTGTTACTTTGGCTGGTGAGAAACAGATAACCAAGCAAGTACTATTCATCTAACAAAGAAGATACAAGTATTGTGGGTTTGAGCATTCCAGTTTGATTTTTAAATGTATTTTTAGGCCTCATGCTCTTGAGAAGTATTCAGTGCGGCCCTCAGTGTTACCAAGTTTGTGCACTCCTTAGATAACTAATGGTGAAGGGGTCATTCTGGAAGTCCTTGGGCTCACCATCGGAAATTTATTAAAGGGGAACAATGAAGGGCAGCTCCCAGGGGTTGTTAGCTTTCTGCTCCAGGAGATAATCCAGAATATACACGTTGCTAGTGCACTTACACCTATCTTTCATCATTACTGCAGCTGGGAGTCTGTTTATGGGGACAAAGTACATTCCCTCTCTCCAATAATATCATGATTATGTAGGGTATAAAATAGGAATATTGCAAACCTTACAGAAGTTACAAAATGAAATTGGTGTGGGGTATGTGGAATTCACTAGGTATAAGTCCTGACTGCAGCACTAGATGCACCCCAGCCCTGGAATCTCTCTGATGGTTATGAAACTTGTATCTAGAGACCTTGCAGACTTTATAAACACCACTAAGGAATCTGTGGAATAAGGTTCAAATATTCATAGTGAAGTTCTCCAGATTAACAACCCAACCTTCCCACTCCATCCCCGCACACCCCCAGCCAAAGTATTCAAGGCTGTAGTAGTCATTGAGGCCAAATGAATAAAACCGTGTTTGGAATTTTTAGACCAAGCTGTATTTCATATTTCACGTTAAAAATAGAAGACTGTTCATAGACTTCAGACTTGCATATCTCAAAAATGCCTTGACCCAATTAACTTCAAACTGTCCAGAAAGTATTGTCCTCTATCTAGAGGCCACATGGTCAACATTTCAGATTAAAAGGGGTTTGGGTTATTTGTGTTTTTTGTAGAATTGTACCTATAATGGAAAGGAAACATTCCCAAAACAAATAACAAACACACACCCTATCAGAAAATACACTGCTGCATACACATCTCCCCCTAGGGACAGGGAAAGAGAACAAACAATTAATGACAGATGCTAGTTATGTCCCTTAATG